CAAAATTTTAATTCAGCTTCAAAAGCATTTTATTCTCCTCTTCTTGATGTATTTATTCATAAAATTTAATTTAAAGTAAATATGTAATGGAAGAAACATCATCACAACAAAGTTTATATATAATTCTATATATTTTTGCTATAAGTTTATATATAAAAAATTTAGATGTGACAAATCGGTTGACTGATATATAAAATATATATATATTATAATAAATCTTTAATATTAAATAACTTTTGATATACTGGTCCGATTTGAATGATTTAATTGTCAAAATGTTTGTCTTGATGAGACGATTCTAATGAATTCAAAATTGCTAAAATCTAATCACAGAATAAGATTGTTAAGGTTTTGTATTATTTTATATATAGTAAAACTAATTTTATTATATATAAACTTATACAAATATTCTTAACGATTTCAGGATCCTGCTATTAAATTTTAACAATTTTGGATTCATTAGAATTGTTTCATAAAGATGAACATTTTAACAGTTAAATCATCCAAAACGGACTGGTAGATCAATATATTCAATTTTAAAAAAATTAAAAAAATTTTTAATAATTAATTAAACTGATCAATCAGAATCAAGCTAGAGATAATCACACCATACATGGATAGGGGTGGCTACTAAGTAGAAAATATTATGTAATAAATAGCACACCCCTAACTATATCTGCCGTATGTTTATGGTCATTATCATGTTAAAAAATAAAATTATCATTTGTTAAATGCTATGGTCACAATGTCCCAATTAACTCATCTTTTAAAATTTCATAATATAACTCCTTATTCATATTTCCCTCAATCCTACAATAATTTCTAACACTATACATACTCATATAGCCTATCCATTATGGACCCCACCATATTTTACTATCAGCTTTTTGTATTGCAATAACAATAGCAAATTTGGGTCTTTTCAACACAATTTTCTTTTATCTAAACCAAAAATCTTGAACTTTAATTCATCTGAAAAAATCACCTTTCACCAATCCTCAATGATCTAACAGCAATATTTTTTTGTGAATTATCTTTGCAATTTTTAGGTCTATAGTAAAAGTAGAGATTTTTTCTTTACCTGAGATTCAAGACCTTGTCTCCATAGTGCTCAGTGAATTGTATTTGTGGAAACACAAACACCTTCATCAGATTTTAATTTTTTTTGGGCTTGGACAGCAGTTTGGCATGTATCTGACCTAAATTCCCTGACTATTCTTCTTTTATGACAGGTGGTAAGTATTCTGAGGTGGTCTGGCCTTGGTAAAACATCCAAGCAACTAGTTTGCTTCTTTAAATTTTTTATTTTTAAAACCGTACTATAGCTTAATTTTTCACGAAAAGCAATAATACAGCTGGAGTAACCTTCTTCAAGAAGAGTGGAAATACGATTTCTTTTTGATATTGGAATTGCTTTTATAGTTATAATAAGTTAGCTTGCATATTTACTATTACTAATCAAGAAAGTATTTATACATTTTTGGCATTGATATGTCATAAATGCACAGACTAAAGATATTTCGTACTGTATGTTATCTAAAAATGTACTGTACTGTACTCACATTTAGCTATACTATATATCAGTACAGTATATTTTTTTCTTTATAATTATATAAAAAGCGTACTGTACTATAATAGAAAAATTATGAACCATAATACAGTACAATGC